TACATGAAATCTGTGTGTACCAGTGCATTCAAGGAATAGATAATTCTAGGGATGAAGGAAGACCCAAAACTGTTTAACCCTCGTTAATTTTTTTATTTTTAACATGAGAATAAAACATATACTATTTCGAAGGTGCAATGTTTCAGTAATTTATTGATGCATACAAAAAATGTACTGTGTATACAAGAAATCGATCAACAGTCAAGAATCAAAACACCTTGGGAGCGGTGATGAGCATTGAATAACTGTTACTTTTACATTTCAGTACATGCTCTCCAAACAGCTCCTGTCCACAGTCCAACCCCCAAAGGGGTTCTCTTGTCATTTCATGCAACTAATTCTCTCTTTTATATATATCTATTTTTTTTTTTACTTTATCAAGCAATTAGTACTAACTACAAATCAAAAGGGTAAAACCACAGTAATACGGAGTCATCTGCTATAAATAGAGCAATTCTGGTCCAGACTAATTACATGTACAAATATTAATTAGGGTTAATTATAATGATACCCCCTGAGGTTTGACATATTGACAGTCATATATAACTTAGCCGTTTTTTGAACAATGACACTCCCTGTGAGAATTTTGATCCAAACAAGCTCTTAAAATATTAGAAAAGACGAGATTGCCCTTCAATGTTTAATTCATTTTTGTGGTAAAATATCAGAACTTATGAAAAGTCAATTTTGCCCTTATATATATACACTATTACATCAGCACCATTATATATATATATATATATATATATATATATATATAACCAAGTCCAACAAAAAAGCGTTGCAGCACCGTCGCCAACCACAGCCGAGCTTCACCTCCCTCGCCGGATCTATCTCACCGGTCCACAACCCGACAACTTCGAACCACATTAACCCCGTTGAATTAGTTGATCTTACAAGATCGATCGAGCGGGAGTATGACGCGGCTGGAAAAACCAAACTACCATCTGGTTTTGAGGACTTCGCTACCTAGCTCAACAATTATCACCCTCGGCTAAGGGCAGAGAAAAGCTCGTGTGGATTAGATGACTAGGACTATAAGCACGCCCAGAAGGATGCGAGTTCCATTTGACGAATCAGAGAGGTTTATTGTTCGATATGAAAACGAGTGAGCAATGGATGTTTTCGGGGAAATCAGCGCGGTCTGAAAAGAGCTTTTCTCTTTTCCGGATGCAAGTTCTACCTCCACGAACAGGGAAGGGACTACAGCAAGTGTTGACGACGGACCCACAGGCCAAGCTCGCATTCGCTCTCATCGCCGGTCGCAAATCACAGCCGAGTTCTCATTGCCCGCCGGTGGACATCATTAAAGCTGAGAGTCCCTGCCGGTGGACATCCGGATCTGTCTCACTGATCCACAGCCACTAGCCGAGCTCCTCGTCGCTCTAATCGCCGATCGCAGATATCAACAACCGAGTTCTCCTTGCCGGCCGGTGGACATCATCAAAGCTGAGAGCCCCTCCTTGCTCACCGCTGCAGTTAACCAGCCCGTCTTTATCGGTTCCATCAAGCCGTCACAGCTCGTTCGTCACCATTTTGCCGCAATTCATCCACAGCTGCCTCCACTCTCTCTACCACTATCGCCCCATATATATATATATATATATATATATATATATATTTTGCCCACAAAATTGAAGAAACATATTGGATAGACACAGAGAAAACATTGATTATTACTTATATAAAAAAAATTAATAGTATGCAATAATTCTCACTAAACCCATTTAAAATTTCTCTGTTTCGTTTTTTTGGTGGAGGTGGCAGTGGTCGGTGGCAATGGCGGAATGGTGGTGGTGGTTTTGGGGGCAAAATTTATGGGTTTTCAGTGAGAGAGGATAGAGAGATAAAATTGGGATTAAGAGGGGTAATTTTGTCATTTGAAGATTTGGATATTTTAAATCAAAAATTAGTATTTTATTGAAGGGCAATCTAGTCTTTTCTCACCTTTTAAGGGTCTCTTTGGATCAAAAATTCTAATAGGGGGTGTCTTTGTTAACTTTATCAAACTTAAAGGGGTGTTATCGTTCAAAAATGGTCTAACTTGTATATACCTGTCATTATAGTAAACCTCAGGGGGTGTCATTGTAATTAACCCTATTAATTATATTTACACATACTGATTACACACATACAGAGAGAGAGAGAGAGAGAGAGAGAGAGAGAGAGAGTTTGTAATCACAATGGTGGAAAGAGAAGAAGTGAGAAACAAACAGGTGTTATTGAAAGAGTATACAAGTGCGTTCCCAAAAGAGAGTGATATGTATATATATAAGCACTGATAAAACTATACACTTGAAGGTGCCACAAGGTTCTAATGGGGTTTTGGTGAAGAATCTATACTTGTCGTGCGACCCTAAAATGCGACTTCTAATGCAAAAAAAAAAAAAAAAACTCAAGGCCTTGACTTATCTTCTTTCACCCCTGATTCTGTATGTCTCTCTCTCTATATATATAATATATATGTGTTATATATATGATTACTGAAGGACCGTTTTGCGTTTTGGATTTCATATGATGCAGAAACTATGTTGTGATTTATAGCATGTTTGATAATTAATTTTGCTGCAATGGGTTAGATGATTGGAAATAAAGGAGAAACTACTTAGTCCTATTTTTAAATTTTAAAGACAAATAAGTGCTATTTTTGTTTTAGGAGAATCCTACTTTTAACAAATATTCCAATTGTACATTATTTTATAAACAATATTTTTTTCCCAAGATTGCCCTTTCTTATAAATGTCTTAATTTTTTTTTTTTTTAATTAAAATATCACCATATCAACTCATAAAATAATATCAAAGCTGAAACTTCTATATATACAAGCAATTAAAGACCACGATATAAGAAAAATCGCCATCAACAACAACTAAGCATGCATATCAAGTTATCAACTGACAAGTATTGATGAGGTGTATTCTTGTACCATTAATAAATTATTTAAATTATTTTCACTTTTTTCTATTTATATTGGTTACAAAGAAGTAATTTCAAAATTAAAGGTAATTTTATGTATATTTAAGACTATGTTATATATATATATATATATATATATATATATATATATATAGTATAATTTTTTCTTTGAATATTTTTTATACAAGAAAATGACATTAATGATATTTATATAGAAAAGAGCAATATTGGAAGAAAATCAATGTAAGTGAAATTATGAACCAAATTGAAAAATATTAACTAAAAGTAGGACTTTGTTGTCCTAGCAAAATTTTTAGAAAACATTCTTTTGTGGTCCGATTAAATTATGTTTTGGGTAGATTTGTTATTTTTATGAATATATTAATTATTCCTCATTCATTAGTCATGGGATATGAATAAAATAGGATAAATTAGATTTTGATGATCAAAATTGAAATATTTTTGCTTTAGAGTAACCTTAAACTAGAGTAAAAATAAATAGGAACCAAACTTAAAAAATAATTGGTGGATCATTTAAAAGTTAATGTCCTAATAATACCCTTATAAAAAGTTAGGCTAAACGAATTGTCTCTAAGCTTCTCAAAATTGCCTTCTTTGGCGAAGAAATCCAAAAAAAACCCTACTCAGTTAGTGGTATACATGGTGGTCGAGAGCTATCGATCTAAATGTGTGCAGAAGTGCAGCTCCCTTTATCTCACGGAGAGTCCCATAGCTATATCATCTTAACTCTTTTTGTGCAAAAGTGCTTCAAACACTAAATGCGATAAATTATATTATTATGTTGCCAGGTACTGTCATGAAGGTATTGACATAGTAGTCCTGCAACTCTTTTAAGAACTTTTCAGTGACTGCAACGTCGGAAAACAATTAGTTGTAGTTGTTCGGGAATGACTAATTAAACTTTCTGGTGTTCCTCCTCTTCCCACTGATGCATTGAGTGTTAAGTACTTGTTCTGTCTAACTGCATCTATCTTCAAGTTTTAGGAGTACGGCAATAAAATGTATACTTTGACATTTGAAACTGAGTTTATATGTTCCTTAGAGCGTAGGACATTCATTTTTGGGTTAATTACAATGAAATCCTCTGAGATTTACCTCATTAACAGTCATATACAAGTTAATCCACTTTTAAACAATGACATCTCCTCAATTTTACTGCATTTGACATAGACACCCTCACATGTGGTAAAATGACCTAAATGCCCTGACATGACACTTTTGAATAACAAAATTACTAAATTATCCATTCTAATAAATTTGAAATGTCCAAAATAACCTCTCTCGCATCTCTCTGTATGATCAATATATACCGACTCACTTTGCGAGATCTGCAATATGATCAATATATTCATAACCTGATATATATATATATATACTCACTTTGTGCTGTCTGTGTCTGCCAATATGGAGATATTATGTATACATATATATATACATACATATGTATATGTATACATAGGGTAATGCTACTGCGAGAGCGCTCTCGCAACAGCAGCGGCGCGCTCTCGTATAACAGTCGTTGGATTAGCAAACATTAAGATAAGCTCATAAAGTATAACTAAAATATTAAGAATGCTACTTTTTAGGGACAACAGAAAAAGGCAAGAAACTTTTATATTTTTTATCATTTGTTTCTCTATCTTCCTTTATTCTTTATTTCTCACGTGGGTTATTTAATGCACGATCTTTCACCTTCAATCTCTTTTATATTTTTTTATCATTTGTTTCTCCCTCTCTCTTTCTTATTTCTCACATGGGTTCATCCTCTTGTTTCAAAAAGGCAGAAAATACTTTTTATTTCTTTTTAATTATACTTTCATAATTCTTCTCTCTTTTCTCTTTTACTCTCTTTGTTTTTTTTTATGAGGAAGTTTGCTATGTAATTTCCGATCAAAGGGACACTCCTCCATCCATCTTCTCATCCTCCCTCGATGCTATTATACTAGATTCCGGTGAGTTAGACTCCATCCTTTGTAGTTTAAAATATTGGTTCACCAACTCATTCAGACGAGGAAAATACCGCTGGAAATGAATAGCCTCACCCAGTTCAGAAAGAAAAGAAATCCCAGGACAATGTTACCTTTTTTCATTAAAAACAAAACATCAAATACAGGGAAAGAGAGAGGCATACCTCTCTGGGCCACAACACTCAACAAGAGTAAAAAAAAAACACATTTCAAAATAAAATACAACAAAACATGAATATAAAAATTACATAGAACACTAACAATCTATTGAAGCTCACTTCTTCATAGTAGTTCCATTTGACAAAAAAAAAAAAAAAAAAAAAAAAAAAACGAAGAAGAAGAAGATCTTTGCTTGTAATTTTGTTTAGCTAGATTTCACCTCCACCATCACGCTAATACAAAAGATTTCATATATCATTTCCAAAATTCTGCAATAGAGAAATATTTGTCAATCTTAATAAATTGATTAATATAATTAAATAAAAAGTGATACTTTACAATCTGATAAGTAGTTACCTCATGAAAATCATTAAGATCAAAACCAGCAGCATCATTTGAACTAGAAGCATGCTTTTTTCTTTGTCCTACATGAAAGATTATATAGAATAGTAAATTTTGAAATTAATGTAAATAATCACATACCAAGTGATCAATATTCTGTATCCTTTGTGAGGCAATCACATGCTTGGTAACCCTACTAAGCCTTTTTGGCCTATCTAAAAATGATTGAATTCTTCCTGGGCGCCCTTTATGCCTCACAATCAAAGGATCAAGTAACCTTCTATGATTGTCAACATTATTGGAAACTGTAGAACCATTTCTTGTCATTTCAGATTTAGCATGGCTTATTGCGAGTGTTCTCCTTGCAACATCAATTTCATTTGACAACTTCCTCAAACCATTCATAGCCAAGTTGTATATTTCCTCATGCATAGCACCTTTTTCGGCAATGCTTGAAGCCTCACGACAAAGACTGTTATGCCGAAGCGTCACAGGCGCATGACAATCAACTTGCATTTGTTCACCTATCATTGACCACAGCCCAGACTTTGCATCTTTTGTCCACCTTTTTAATATGTATTGTGATGGAACATTTCGAATATTCATGACAACAAACACCTTTAGGATATGTCGGCATAAGTATCCTGCAAATTCAAAGAGTTGACATGTACATTTTACATTAACAGATATAGCAGAATTATCAAAATTGATAATATGTCCAACATCTTTTCAATTGCCTCTCCACACAAGAAAATTTGTTTTATCCATATTCGCAGTCATTTCATGATTGTAATTGAGACCTGCTAGTAACTCATCTTGAAACATTCTAAAGATTGCTCTTGTATAAACTTTAGATGCATTTTCTTCAATGTCCATTTCAATCCTTAAAAAAGGCCTCTTATAGAGTGTCTCAAAATCTTCATCATTTTCCATTTCCCTCCTATGCACGACAGCTTTTTCATATTGTTTTACAAATTCACATAATGGCATATCCTTCTTCAAGTACCCATCAAAGTAGGCATTTATACTTTCACTACGTTGTGTTGTGTACATAGATGCACAAAAGACATCACGTGTATAAACAGCTGCCCATTTTTCCCTTTTCCCGTATAACCCCATCAACCATTTGTTATCTTTCTAGCCATACTTTTCTAACATTTCATCCCAAGTAAACTCAAAATCTTCTATGGATTCACATTCATGCAAGCAATTATTGAAATCACTCTTAAATCCATTATGTTCATTGTATATACGGCCCAAATTTTTTGTAGCATTTCTTGTGATATGTAAAGACAAAACGATGTTGAGTTGCAGGTAATGCACGTGATATTGCCCTAGCAATTGCAGACTCTTGGTCAGTAAGAATCACTTTAGGTATTTTTTCATTCATCGCTTTCATCCACGTTGAAATTACCCAAACGAAAGATTTCTCAGTTTCATCAAAAAGAAGTGCACCACCAAATAACACTATTTGATAATGATGATTAACCCCTACAATAGGGACAAATGGCATGCCATACCTATTTGTCCCATATGTTGGATCAAAGCAAACAACATCCCCAAAATAGTGATAGTCCATTCGTGATCTAGAATCTGCCCAAAAAAAATTAGTCATCCTATCTTTTGAATCAACTTGAATTGAATAATAGAACGACCGATTATTAGTTTGTTGATTTTCTAGAAAATCAAGAACCGATTGCACATCTCCATTTTGAATCTCTGCTCTTCGTTTAATACCCAAAAAGTTTCTTGCATCTTTTGAGGTAAAACCAATATTACGATATCCACCATCTTCAATGGCCAAAAAATTCGTCATCAAATTTGTTTTTACACCTGATTCACACATATTTGATAACATTTGACCATGAACTTCTTTTACCTTCCTATGTGATGGCATCTTATGTTTTTTACTTGGAGTTACAAGAGAGTGATTATGTTCTTCGACAACTTTAGAGATAACCCATTTGTCTTCTTTCTTAACAAGTGATATCATTGCTTTACAATCCACTCTTGTTTCAGCAAACTATCTTTTCTTTTCTTCATTATTCTTAAATCTAGATTCTCGAAATCCTTGAAGTGAGCAACAAAATTGATGACCAATTATATCTCTTGTTTTCTTAGATACACGTGAAGAGCTTTTTTGGACACTAAATCCCTTGCTATAAGCATATCCATTATAAAATTTAAATGCCTCATCTATGGATTCAAATTCCAAGCCAACATAAGGAACAATGTCCTCATTCTCATCATATTCAGTTAGTGTTCTTTTTCCTTAATCATTTGACTGAATAACCTCCACATCATCCTCGTTAAGATCAAAAACATGTATAATTTTGACTTCCAACATCCATTTTTTAACTACACAGAATCCTGTAGAATGCATTGATAACATTTATTTTAATTAATAAAAAACAAAATGGCCACATATATCTAAACATCCATCTATTAACTACACAAAAGAGTCATGTGGTATTCTGGAAAAAATGACAATTCAAATGATAACATGTTTTTTTTAATTAAAATGACAATTTAATAAATAAATAAATGAATATTCTATGGCATTTGGGGCATATCATTAAATATATAGTGAAATACATATAATAAAACAAAAACATGGTTTTTTTTTATTATTATTATTTTGGGATTGTTGTTGATTGATACATAGAAGAAGGTAAACAACAATTGGTGAACCAATATTTTAAACTACAAAGGATGGAGTCTAACTTACCGGAATCTAGTATAATAGCATCGAGGGAGGATGAGAAGATGGATGGAGGAGTGTCCCTTTGATCGGAAATTACATAGCAAACTTCCTCATAAAAAAAAAAAAAAAAAAAAAACAAAGAGAGTAAAAGAGAAAAGAGAGAAGAATTATGAAAGTATAATTAAAAAGTAAGAAAAAGTATTTTCTGCCTTTTTGAAACAAGAGGATGAACCCCAATTGACAAATCAAGGTGGAGAGAGAACTAAGAAAGAGAGGGAGAAACAAATGATAAAAAAATATATATATATATAAAAGAGATTGAATGTGAAAGATCGTGCATTAAATAACCCACGTGAGAAATAAAGAATAAAGGAAGAAAGATACAAATGATAAAAAATATAAAAGTTTCTTGCCTTTTTCTGTTGCCCCTAAAAAGTAGCATTCTTAATATTTTAATTATACTTTACGAACTTATCTCAATGTCTGCTAATCCAATGGCTGTTATGCGAGAGCACGCCGCTGCTGTTGCGAGAGCGCTCTCGCAGTAGCATTACCTATATATATATATATCTCGATATATTATAGATATATAGAGAAGTTAAGTTAGAGACCATATATAGAGAGAGAAGTTACAGATATATATATATATATATGTCGACTCACATATATTGATATATGGCCAAAACAAAGTGTATTTTGCCGCCACCGCAAATGAATCAAATGAATCTGATTTAGATATTTCAGATCGCGCAAAAACAGTGTATTTAAGTCGATATATATATATCGCTTGAATATATATCAACTCACATATATCGAGATTTCAGATGGCGCAAACGAATCAAATGAATCTGATTCAGATAATTTCGGTGATACCACCACCACCTCCACCGTAACCTCTGACCACTGTCTCATGATGCAAACGGATCTGGATTGATCTGTTGGTTGCTCCTCTGTTGTTTTTGCACAAAGCGTGGTGGTGGTGATAAGAGATGTAATACTATGCAATCACCGATGGGCGGCTGTGATTGAGGAGAAATGGTGGTGGCGACTGTGATTGAGAAGAAGATGATGGCGGCGGCTGTGATTGAGGAGAAGTGGTGGCGGCGGCTGTCATTGAGAAGAAGATGATGGCGGCGGCGGTTGAGGTTGAGGTTGAGGAGATGGTGGCGGCGGGATGTGGCTGAGGGTAAGTGGCGGTGGTTGTGGTTAAGGGGCTGCCTTTGAGGAGATGATGGCGGCTGGTGAAAGAGAGAGAAGGGGGTGGGGATCGATAGGTTAGAAGAGATTGGTAGAAGGGCAAAAGTGTCATTTTAAAATTTTAATACTTTACAATTAAAATTAGTTAAATATTGATGGGCAATTTTGTCTTTTCAAACCTTTTAAGAGTCTGTTTGGTTCTAAATTTTGTGAAGGGGTGTCATTGTCCCAAAAAAAAATTCAACTTATGTATGAGTGTCATTATAACAAATCTCAGGAGTATCGTTGTAATTAACTCTTCATTTTTTTAGGCTTTGGAAGCCTATCTTGAACCTCAATTTTTTTTTAGGTTTAGCTCACGATGTGTTTAAAAGTCTTCAGCCAAATGAATATTTCACAAGAGATGACAAGAAATTTTATTAATAATTGACCGTTTTGATCATTTGGAATAACTCCACGAATTTAGTAAACCCTACCATAAATCGAACCTATATGTTTTAACTAAACCCCTGATATGCGAGTACTTCATAGATTACTTGAATAATCAATATATCAGGTTACTTGTCACTATTATTGCAGGAATCACGATGCGTAACTTGAACTAACCTGTTTAGGGCTGAATAGGGTTTAATTACCACCATACCCCTACATCCGTATATGCTAATTATAGGACCTCTATTTTGATATTAATAGAGCATTATATGTTATCTATATATATATTGATAACATAGGGTGTCTCCATTCCCTTGAGCAATACTAACTTTACTATAGGTAAACCAAGAACTTTGAAAATAAATTTTTTCTCCTGAATATTATTATTATTATTATTATTATTATTATTATTATTCAGAATCTTTTTCAAGTACTAGCTAGATAATGGCCCAAGCCTATCCATACACTAAAACATTTGAGATGGCTTGTCCTAGCTTAGGCCTTGGATGGGCTTTAGTTGGGCTAACAACGTTGTGATGCATAGTGGTTTGGGCCACTTGCAATATGGCAACAAACTGCAACCCACTGAGACTTAAGGAGATATATATATAGCATAGAGAATAAAAAAAATTAAGAGCTTAAGTTAACAGCAAACTTCCAAAACTCACTAAAATTGAAAATAGAGTATAAAAAATTTTAAGAGCGTAATTTTAAGCGATCTTATTAAATTTTTCTGTAAGTGGACTTTTTGTTTGATAAAATTAAAAAAATTATATCTTAGTCACCATATATAATAAAATAGTGAACACAATCTTAAATAGCCACTAAATTGTAAGTGACCGTTCATAATTTATTCCAAAAATGCCCTTCTAAAAAACTCTTTTTATTTTGAAAGGAGAGTTTGTGGTGTGAGGCAGAAGAGGTTTGTGCTACGACTGTTGAAACCATATGAGTATGTATGTGATTTTTGGGTGTCCCCATGCGGAAATAGTTTCGAAAGTGGCTCATATACGATTGGCTCTTAGCCCCCTTCATCCAAAAATCCTGATAAAGCCAAAGGGGATTCGTTTGCACACAAGGCGGAGTTAGGATTGCCAAGTAAAAGAGTTAAAGATGAATATAATAAAAGTTGTGAAATATTAAAAAAAATTCTTATAGAAGTGAGATATGATAAAGGTATGCTGTGTTCAATATTGTCTTACTTCCATGTCCAAGTAACTAGATCATGAAATTGATCATTTTTTACTAAAAATTCGATCAGAGAAGACTTAAAAACCTAATTTACCAAGTTTAGATCTCAAATTAAAATCAAATATAAGAACATATTTATTATCCACCATCAAAACACCCCTTGGAATTCGTTTTTCGGGGTAAAAATAAAATAAAAAATGATTCAATTGAATCTTGAACATCCTTTTAACTATTAATTGATAAAGGTGATTAGATTTTGAAATAAAACTGCCCATGTTTTAAGAAATATGAGTTTATGTCATAATTTGAATGAAAAATTGGATATTTTCTCACTTTCTAACAATTGTAAACTTTTTGAATTGTGGTTTCTAATTAACATAATTTATATTCTTAAAGGGGGGAAATAAAAAATAAACACAGGAATATTTCGAAGAACAAGGATAGTAGCAGCATATAGCCCAGATAAATACTGAAACATTTCAAAGAAGAAAGATAGTAGCAATATATAGCCCAGATAAATACATGAACAATTAAGTTAATAAGAAAAGGAAGAATAATACTATAAATTGATTATATAAGTATAAACAGTAATAATATATATATATATATATATATATATATATTTTTTAAGTTGAATCTGCCCTACAGCTCAGGTTAACCGATTAATAATTCCTCTCTTAATTGTATGTTAGTGGCTTGATTTGGTTGATCTCAAAGGTGAAAGGGACGATGGAGATCAGACTAACAAATTATTATACAATCCAGGACTAAAAGACCTCAGCCAATCACAACTTAACAAATAAATAAATATATTAATTTTATTTAATTTTTTACTTAAATATCAGGTTGTGTTATCACTTTGAATTGTTTTTGGTCTTCTTCCATGAGTCGTGTGTGTGGACCCAGTTGAGGAGACTTTTCACATGCATATGTCGGCCAATATATATAATTACACACCACTACACCAGCTGTGAACCAATTATTCTCTCTTTTAGCTTTCAATCAATTTTTTCAAGGGAAATGAATTATTGAACTTCTCAGTCTTAAATTTTCTGAGGGCCTACTCTACAGCTGCACAAAGAAACTAGTACATAATAATGCTAACAATGCAACACACTTTTTTTCGTTAAAATTTTTTTTTTGTTTTCTTGAATATATAAATAGATTTAAATATTATTTTTTACGAACAATACCAAAGTAATCACTATGTATAGTGTCTCATTTTCGTCAGGAATTTATGTCGTACCTAGTGCAATTATTTTACACTGTGAATGCAATAATATTAAATTATTAATATAATAATTTTAATTTAATAATGTAACAAATATATAAATGTATTAATTCATTTTTTTAATGATGTTATGCGAATAATGAAATAATATTTTACCTAAGAGTTATGTCTTTAATATAAATATATTACATAATTGTTACTCATTTTGTAATATAATTGTATTATAATGTTATGTAAGTTACTGCACTAGTACACTAATTGCAAAATTACTCTGGGTGAAAGTGCTGAAACACGTCATGACACCTCCAGGAATTTTTTTTTTTTTTTTTTTTGAAAGATTAAGCAATGTATTAAATAAGGAAAACATGTACAAAGGCCTTTTGCCAAAGCAGCCCATGAAGGTAAACAGGCCTAAATAAGGCAAAAAGAGGCGGCCAATGGCCAAACAACATAGGCATATAAGCCCAATCCAAAAACAAGCTTGATAACTTCGTTTAACAGAGTAATGAAATATCCGTTAAAGGATGGTGTCAAGCTTTCAATCCAGTGATATAGCCCTAAATCGGCACTGTGAATCTCCTTCCACTAGCTAGTCCGGCGGTCTCGGAGGGGGGCGACAGCAATCCGGCGATATATTCCAAGACTGCAAAATAGATCTGGAGGAATCACAATCCTTGAGGCAACGCAATTGGAGAAGGTTTGTGATTGTATTACATACTTTGGCCAACACCAGTCTCTGCGAAGCTGCTTTCCCTTTGATAAACTCGATTGTTTCGTTCTTCCCAAATATGATAAACCATAGTTGAAAGACAGATCTTCCGAAGCATGTTGGTCGGAGAGCTTCCCCTCCATCTCTGGCTGATCCACAAAATCATATCCTCCCAAGAGTGGAAAGGTTTGTAAAATTTACATCTATCTTGTATGAATTTCCACAGTGGGGAGGAGAAGACACATCTGAAAAGAAGGTGGGAGTGGGATTCAGGTTCATTCTTGCATAGTGCACATATGTTCTCATGATTAGACATTGCTCTGTTGTCAAGGGTTGGTAGTCTACTTTGAACGGCCATCCACATGTTGAATTTCATCCTTGGAATTGTGGGAGAGCACCATACGAGATTGAACCAAGCAATTTGATCCCCATTGCCTGCAAGATGGAGAATGGTGTGTTTGAGGCTGAATGAACCAGTGGGGGAAGCTGACCATATAAGCTTATCATTCCTGACTGAGCAAGGTTGAGGGAGAACAAGAAGTTCCGGGATTACATTGGAAAGAGATGGGGGAAATGCCCATGAAATGTTGACTACGAATCTACCCACAGGTAAATTATCTTCAATTCCCAAGTTTGAGAGGAGGGTGGATGGATATCGAAGACTGAGAGGCCTTGTTGAAGTCCAATTGTCTAACCAGAAGTTGGTATCCATACCATTGCCAATGATATGTTTGATGATAAGCCTGGCTGGATGTCTCAATTGAAGGATTTTACGCCAGCTCCACGAACAAGGCCGTGGGATTTTCAAGCTCCAAAGGCTCCTGTTCTTGATAAGGTAAATTCTGCACCAACTTATCCAAATTCTGTCTGTCTTGTCTGTTTGAAGGTCCCAAAGATATTTGAGAATAGCAGCTCTGTTTGCAACCTCAAGGTTGGGCATGCCCAGACCACCCTCAGATTTGGGCTTGCAAACATTATGCCAAGCTACTTTTGAACCTGAGGTTTTCATTTTTGGTCCTGACCAGAGAAAAGATCTAAAGGTCTTGTTCAGCTCCTTGATGACACTCTTTGGAAGGATAAAGATACTGGACCAGTAGAGCTGAGTGGAGACTAGGACTGCTTTAACAAGTTGTAACCGACCAGCATAGGAAAGGGATTTAGCTGACCAATGAGAAATTCTTTGAGTAATTCTCTCAATGAGGACCCTACAGTCTGAGCTCTTGAGGTTTGTAGAGATTAGAGGAATCCCAAGATGTTTTATGGGAAGACAGCCCTTCTGAATGCCAAACAAATCAATGATTGCTTCTTCCATCTGAGGATGAATACCTGCAAGAAAGATTGAGCTTTTTGAAATATTAATTGTTAGTCTAGACATTGAGCAGAAAAGGTCCAAGGCTGACTTCAGGATGGAAATGGATTCAATGTCTCCATGGCAAAGTAAAAGGAGGTCATCAGCAAATGACAGGTGGGTTATGCGTTGCTCTTTACATCTCCAATGGTGCTTGAATCTTGGGGCTCTAGCAACATAGTTGCTGATGATGGATGATAGTGCTTTAATGACAATGACAAACAAAAAAGGGGAAATTGGATCCCTTTGTCTCAATCCTCTCTTACCTTTAAAAAAACCCCTGGAACTCTCCCTTTAAAGCAA